GAACGTTGTTGCGAATGCACTTTTGCGCATGTTTTTTTGCATGTACGTTTGTGCATGTCCATTTGAGCGAGTGTGTTTGTGCATGTTTGTTTATTTGTATTAATCTCCTAGGATTGTAGTTTGTGTTTTCATGATCCTTTTTGCGAATGCACTTTTGCGTGAGTACTTTTGTAAATGCTTTTGTACTTTTACTTATGTGCGTATCTTTTCTAGCGAGTGTTTTTGTGCATGTTTCTTGATGCGCATTCATGTCCTCGAACTGTAGCACGTATTTTCGTGATCGCTTTTGGAATCCAATTTTGACCGTGTTCGAGTCCGAATTTGGAAATTTGACGTTAGATAGGAATTGTAGCCAGCTTAAATAGCTTTCTAATGCCGCTAGAACCAATTGATTTGGAGTTCGGATAAGAAAGTTATGTTCGGCTTCGTGGACACTACCAAAGATGTTGAGGGATCCTGTCTTCTAATTTGATTTTATTTTCCTAATTGCAACTCTTTACTTACACTTTGATCATTTTTCCTTTATGGACACCTAATTGTCGATTTGTACCTATAAGATACTAAATCCATTAATTAAAACATAAATATAAATTAATCCAAAAAAAAATCCACATAAACGTAAACATAGAGTGTTATTTCTACACTCCACGGTATCTGTAGCATCTAGAGATTTTGCTGTTGTTTGGTTATGCGTATTAAAGTCCTAATGTTATAGTTCGTGTTTTTAAGAACGTTGTTGCGAATGCACTTTTGCGCATGTTTTTTTGCATGTACGTTTGTGCATGTCCATTTGAGCGAGTGTGTTTGTGCATGTTTGTTTATTTGTATTAATCTCCTAGGATTGTAGTTTGTGTTTTCATGATCCTTTTTGCGAATGCACTTTTGCGTGAGTACTTTTGTAAATGCTTTTGTACTTTTACTTATGTGCGTATCTTTTCTAGCGAGTGTTTTTGTGCATGTTTCTTGATGCGCATTCATGTCCTCGAACTGTAGCACGTATTTTCGTGATCGCTTTTGGAATCCAATTTTGACCGTGTTCGAGTCCGAATTTGGAAATTTGACGTTAGATAGGAATTGTAGCCAGCTTAAACAGCTTTCTAATGCCGCCGGAACCAGTTGATTTGGAGTCCGGATGAGAAAGTTATGCTCGACTTCGTGGACACTACCAAAGATGTTGAGGGATCCTCTATTCTAATTTGATTTTATTTTCCTAATTGCAACTCTTTTCTTACACTTTGATCATTTTTGCTTTATGGACAACTAATTTTCGATTTGTAACTATAAGATACTTAATCCATCAATTAAAACGGAAATATAAATTAATCCAAAAAAAAAAATCCACGTAAACGTAAACATAGAGTGTTATTTCTACACTCCACTGTATCTTTTGTATCTAGAGATTTTGCTGTTGTTTGGTTATGCGTATTTGGAAATTTGACGTAAGACAGGAATTGTAGCCAGTTGAAATAGCTTTCTAATGCCGCTAGAACCAATTGATTTGGAGTTCGGATGAGAAAGTTATGCTCGGTTTCGTGGACACTACCAAAGATGTTGAGGGATCCTCTCTTCTAATTTGATTTTATTTTCCTAATTGCAACTCTTTTCTTACACTTTGATCAGTTTTCCTTTATAGACACCTAATTGTAGATTTGTACCTATAAGATACTAAATCCATTTTTAAAACATAAATATAAATTAAGGGTTAACTGCAAAAAATCCCCTAGACTTTGGACATTTTTGCGCTTTACCCCCTGAACGGAAAAAAGTTGCACGGGCATACCTGAACTCCTGTTTTCTTAGCACCGATGTCCAAAATGTCTATTTTTGGCCAAAATTGACCGGAAGTCAAATCACGTGCCTAACACGTGACTTTAGCTGGGGTAAATTGGTTATTTCCTTTTATGCTCGATTTTCTTCCTTTTATTTTTAATAAATATAAATAAATCTTAAAAAATAAAAAAATAAAAAAAGAAGAATAAGTTTCTTCTTCCCGTCACCATCATCCCCAACCAAGCTCTTCCCCTCACCACCTGCCCCAACAAAACTACTCTTCATCCACTTCAGCCCTCAGCCGCCGCTTGTCGCCTCTGCTTCACCTCCCTCCGCCGTCTGTCTTTCGCAACTCCACTGCTTGCCCAACTCTGCTTCGCTGCCCTCCGCCGCCTTTCTTTCGCATATCCACTGCTTGCCCAACTCTGCTTCGCCGCCCTCCGCCGCCTGCCGCCTCTGCTTCACTGCCCATCGGAATTAAGGACTATAACTCGAAAGCAAATCACACCAAAACACCAAATTAATCAATCTTTCTCTTTCCCAAAAAAAGTATCAAATTGAGGACTGTATGGTTGATTAAGCTTTGATTCAAAAAACTCAAATTCCTCGGCGGAATCAAACTCTGATTCAAAGAAGAAGAAAAAAATGTTCTGGAGCTGAAATTGACGCACCCCCGAAATTGATGCACCGCCGCCGAAGGTTTCAATGGTGGAATGTTTATCCCTTGCTACAGTGTCATATTTCCACCAAATTGGTTGCTTCCACCACTGCAATTCGCTGCCGCTGCCATCAGTTGATTGATCGGGCAAATAACGAGCCGGCGGTCAAACTTTGAGACCGGAGCACTGGCGAAAAACCTCAATCTCTTTGCCTTGTGATGGTGAAGGGGTGGATTGAATAGCAGATTTTCGAGATCGAACTAATAGATATGGGGGGATGGATTGAAATTGGTTCGGAAGGGGTGGTGGTGCGGCGTCGGATCAGAAGTTGTGGTAGGTGGTTGTATGATTTGTGTGTGGTGGTGTCTCTCTCGTGGTGTACGAAGATGATGGGTTTTTAAATTTCTTTTTTTCTTTTTTGTTTTCTTTTCTTCTTTCTTTCATTTTTCTAATTATTTATATTTATTAAATAGAAAATGAAGAAAATTGGTGTAAAAGAAAAATACTAATTTATGTAACACCCCGCATTTTCATAATGCATTGAATATATTATATGCAATTCATGAATTAATTAATAATTATATGTATCCGAAATGTCTGCTTGACTTTAAGTAATGTATGTGACCATGTTATTCTATTTACATGAATTAGGTGAATTATAATGTATTATGCATCTTAATTGAATTAAATAACTTATATGCGCCCATTGTTTAATTAATCCAATCTATGATTAGTAATTATCTGATTAAGTGCTTCATAAGTGTTTATAATATTGATGATTACTAGATGTTATAATGTGGTTGCTTGCTCAAATGTTTATAATGATTATTATTATATGATTAAATGAATTATGTGCTTTAGTCCATGGATTTCAATGATGTGCTTTAATTGATAATTAATCTAGGATTGAGATGATGTGAAATTAGTTTTATTTATAGTTTAATTGGTATCCTATTTAATTTATAGGAATTATATGTTTTAGTGTGTGTGTATTGGCCGTGTGTTGTGTAAGGGAAAGTGAATTATTTCCCTAAGTTTATTAATTACTAAGGACTCAAGGTATGTTCTCTTCTCTTCTCTTCTCTTCTCTTCTATATTGCTAAGAAGCCCCCAAGGTATGTTCTCCCAAATTGCTAATAGAACCCCAATGTCTTTTATATTGCAAATAAGGGCCTCATCTCCCCTATAAATAAACCCCTCCTCTTCACATTCTCTTCACACCAAAACATCAGCCAAAAGTTCCCTCTCCTCTCCATCTCCATCGATCAAAAACAGCCCCCAAAGAAGAATTCTCTTCTTCCATCACCCCATCAAAGCCCCTCTGTCCTTCCTCTCTTCAATTCCTCTCCAAGAAAAACTCCCTCTTCTTCAATTATGCTAAAAATCTTCAAGAAACAGCCCCTTCACATCCTTCAAACTCAGCCCCAAAGCCATCCAAGAAAACCTTCACATCCTTCAAACTCAGCCCCAAAGCCATCCAAGAACATCCAAGCCAAACCCGCCGAAAATCCACCGAGCCTTTGGTTTTCTTACTCCTTCATCTTCGATTTCTTGCTCTTGGGTAAGGACCTTGGTCTTTACTGAAATAATAACCTAATTAATATAAATTATATGGGTTTTAATGAACTATATGTTTGTGGTCTTAATTTTGGGCTTTAGAAGATAAAGTTCTTGATGAACACTACTTGAATTTCAGTTTCGTAGCTTCTGATTGTATTGCATGTCTCATCGGGTAATCCCTAAGATAAAATTATGAAATTTTATGGTAGTCTAGATATTTTGGTTAGCTTCATGTGGATATAAATTATGCATAAATCGGATTTGTATTGAGTGAGGCATGAATCGTTTTCTGAATCTGCACAGTTTCGGAGTCATCCACGAATTATGTGTTAAATAGCTTTTTATACTACTCTTATTGAAGTGATTTCACTCGAATATGATTATGTACTTATGAAACTAATATTCTACAAAATGTGGTAATTTTTGGATTAAGTGATGAATTATTTGGTATTTTTAAAGTTAGTGGGTCTGTTCTGAATTTCTGCTTATGTTATTGCACTAAATTGATTATATCTCTTACATAGATGAGTTTCTTCATAAACTGTTTTAACCCTATAAACTAGACGTTGATATGAACATGTGTTCCAAATTTCATCAGGTTTGGATCTACGGTTTAGGAGATATGAATTTCTGAAGTTATAGTGCCTAAACTGTATTAGAATATATATAAGTTGTAAATATTTTTAGTTAAAAACGTGTTTTAGGTGAACACGTGTCTATTAGTAAACACACTTTTATATTGCAGCTAATATATAAAGCTGTTTAATCTGTAAATATCACAATTAATTTTTTAATAGAATATATTACCGTTGCATCTTTCTCTCTCTCCCTCTGATTTCGTTTCCTTCTCTCTGCTCCGATTTCTCCATCAATGGAGTTCTGATATATAAATGTTAACATGGTATCAGTTTGATATCGTTTTTCTTTTCTCTTTCCGCTCGTCTACTTCGTACATCGATTCAATTTCCGGTTTTTTTTCTTTCGATCTCTGTTTTTTTTCCCCTGTTTTCCATGGCTGCTCGATCACGTATCGATGATATTTCCAGTCCGTACTATCTGCATCCATCTGATGGTCCTGGTCTTGTTCTGGTGTCGTCGTTACTCCGGGAAGACAATTACGCCGCTTGGAATCGTGCGATGATGATCTCGTTGACGGTCAAGAATAAATTGGGGTTTATCGATGGATCGATCACAAAACCTCCGGCTGATGAAGCGCTTCTCCTTAATGCTTGGGTTCGGAACAACAGCATTGTTATATCTTGGATCCTCAATGCAATTTCTCCGGATATACAGGCTAGTGTTATGTATTCTGAATCTGCACATGACATATGGAATGATTTGAAAATTAGGTTTTCTCAAACCAATGGTCCGCGAATTTTTCAATTACGCCGGGAATTGGCTAATTTGACTCAAGATCAGCAGTCGGTAAATGTCTATTTTACTAAGCTCAAAGCAATCTGGGATGAGCTTGACAATTTTCGGCCGACGTGCACATGTGGTCGCTGCTCTTGTGGTGGTGTTGACAAATTACAAGATCATCATCATATCGAACATGTTATGTCTTTTCTCATGGGGTTAAATGACTCTTTAGCCTCTACTCGAGGACAAATTCTGCTCATGGATCCACTTCCTCCAATTAACAAAGTGTTTGCTCTTGTTTCTCAAGAAGAGCGGCATAGGTCTGTTGCTGTGACTTCTTCTTCCGACGTTCAACATTCTTTAGCCTTTGCTGCTCGTGGTATCCAGACAAATCAGTTTGTTCGAAGGCCTCAAAATAATCAGTTTTATGGTACCACTTCTCAGAGGAAAGACAAGATTTATTGTACTCATTGTCACAAGACTGGGCATACTGTCGAGAAGTGCTACAGACTTCATGGATTTCCACCGGGATATCAGCCTCGGCAGAAACCTGGCATGACTTCAAACCAATCCAGTCAAACCAAATTTGCAGTCAATCAAGTTTCTGATATTGTTCATTCAGATGCTTCACTTAATTCAGGGAGTCTTTCTCAATCTCTTCCTTCTTCTGATAATTTTCTTGATGCTATGACTGCCTCTCAATGTCAACAGTTGTTGTCATATGTTTCTTCTCACTTGGCAAATAAGGCCAATCAGCCACCCCATGACAAGAATTCAGAAATTTTTGACACTTCTCACATTTCTCGTGTGACAGGTATTTGTTTATTTAATGCTTTGCATACTCCTTCGTTTATGCCTCATCATTGGATCTTAGATTCAGGGGCTTCTCGTCACATTTGTCACAACAAATCTCTGTTCTTAAATATGAAATCAGTTTCTAATGCTCGAGTTGTTTTACCTGATTCTTCCATGGTTCTAGTTAATTGCATTGGTGATGTTCAGCTTACCACTCACTTGGTGCTACATAATGTTTTTTATGTGCCAGAATTTAAGTTCAATCTGGTCTCTGTGAGTGCCTTACTACATGGTAGCTCATATGTTGTTATTTTTGATGAGTTCTCTTTCTCTATTCAGGACAGATTGATGACGCAGATTGGCAAGGGTAACAAAGTTCAAGGATTATATGTTTTAGATCCTGTTTCTGCATCTCCTATTGAACATGCTTTTTGTAATAAAATTTCTGCCACTGTGTGGCATCATCGACTTGGGCATATTCCTCAGCCTAAGCTCGCTTTTTTAGCCAAGAAATTTTCTTTATCAGTGGACAAAATTTCTGAATCTTCTTGTTGCTATGTTTGTCCTTTAGCAAAACAAAAGAGGTTACACTTTTCAAATAGTTCTTCTGTTTCCACTGCTATGTTTGATCTTATACATTGTGACATATGGGGACCTTTTAAAGTTCCTTCTTACTCTGGTTTTCACTATTTTGTTACTTTAGTTGATGATTATTCCAGGTTTACTTGGGTCCATTTGCTCAAAACCAAGTCTGAAGTTATCACCGTGGTTCCACGATTTCTTAAAATGGTTTTAAACCAGTTTGGTAAGTCTATCAAAGTCTTCAGGTCAGATAATGCTTATGAGCTTCAATTTAAATCATTATTTGATGAACTTGGTGTCATTCATCAATTTTCATGTGTATATACACCTCAACAAAATGCTATTGTTGAGAGAAAACATCAACACATTCTTAATGTTGCTAGGTCATTGTTTTTTCAATCTCACATTCCTATTACATATTGGAGTGAATGCATCCTTACTGCTGTTTTCTTGATCAACAGAATCCCTGCTCATAATCTCAATGATTTGTCTCCTTATGAATTATTATATCCTGCCAAACCTTTTGATTATCACTCTCTCAAATCTTTTGGTTGTCTTGTTTTTGCTACTGATGTTTCTGGTCATAAATCTAAGTTTGATCCTAGGGCCAATGCTTGTGTTTTCTTGGGCTATCCCTCTGGTATTAAAGGTTACAAATTGTTGGATCTTGTATCCCACAAAGTTTTCATATCCAGAGATGTGATCTTTCATGAAAACATTTATCCTTTTACAAATAAGTCCTCTTCTTCTGAATTTATTTCCACTGATTTTTCCCCTCTCCCTCCTTCTGTCATTCCTTCTTTTCATCATGACTCTATTTCAGAGCCTTATCCATCTGTCTCTGTTTCAGTTCCACCCATCTCTTCTCCGTCAAATATGCCAGTTGTTCAGCCAATTGTTCCTCTTAGAAAATCCTCTAGACATATAAAACCTCCTACCTACTTATCTGACTTCAAATGCAATGCAGTTACCACTTCCACTCCTCTTTATCCTATCTCCAAATTCACTGATCTATCTCAGCTTTCCCCTTCTTACCAAACTTTTATTTTAAACATATCTGATGAGGATGAGCCTGCTACTTATAAATTGTCCGAGTTTCCTAAAAAGTAAACTACTTGAATTAAAGGGGCCTTTGTGAGCATGGTTTAAACTCTTGAGGCATAACTTAACATAATAATTGAACATAGATGCAGTTACCTATGAGTATTGAGCTACATCTAAGACATATTCTTAGACTAATCTATGATTAGAACAATAGGTTGTTCTTCGAAATTACTATGTGCTAGTACTTATAATGAATCAGATTTCCGATGGTTCCTTAAATAAGAAGCGTTGAATTTCATTATGTGTATTTGAATTATGTGATTTACTCTTGTGAGGTATAAGTATGTATATGTATAAGTATATTTATATGTATATCGATAGTTTAGACCTATGATGTTATAGGCGTACTCCCTTCGGGTTGAGGAAACTTATAATCCATAGTTATAAATTAGAGTATATACGTATAGGTATAAGTATATATATACGTATAAGTACCTATGTGTATATACGTGTACAAGTATATGTGTCTTTATTACTAATGTTTGATCTATATAGGCTTACTATATCCTCGGAAATTACTTCCGAATTATGTGATTTAATTCCTTCGAATTATGTGAATGATATAATTGGAATTATTATCGTGTTGCTATTAAGATCTTTGGCTTGCGTGCATTCACCGAGTCATTCATTGGTATTGCATGGTCTACTATAGAAGAGTCAAAATTGTAACGTTGCTACGGTTGAATAGACACGGGATACGGGGGGCCGGTATCCCAACAACAGTTACTATAGAACAACAGGGTGGTTAGCTCCCACCGAATGACCGGGCTCAACATATAAATGTCTATTGCCGATGCTTACGTTAGGGTTTTGATGGGGATCCCGACATGTGCATACTTGCATACGAAAGATTTTGAAAGAAAAATGGTTTTAAAAAGAGTTTTAAAATGGGGTTTTCGTTCTAAAAAGGGGAGCTTCGTTGAAAGGTATATTTTGTCCAAGACGAGTTCCAAAACGAACTAAGAAATGATTTCTAAAGGAAAACGAATCCCCACATGATTTGAAAGCGAATTTCAAATGGCTTTCATAGCAAAACCATACGTTTTATTATGTGCTCATATGTGAAGTTATATGTTTAATTATTTGTGGCGTGATTATATTTTGTGATTCACGTTGATGAAATAATATAATACAGTTACGACATAAAAGCCTTAGCCAAAAGAGAACATAGACAGGGACTTTAGGATTCCCATAGGTCGTGAGTGATACGTTGAGAGAGGCGTGAGTTCGTCAGACTAAGACTAATGTCCTTACTGAGCCAGTGTTTGGGCTCATGCTTTTATGCAAATTATCTTTTCAGGTTCTCCAAGCTATGTAGGAGGCCGGAGGAGAGGAGTTCGAGGAATCACGAGCCTTGGTGCCTAGATCATTTTACTCGTATTTTCTACGCAACGTTTTATCAAAAACTAATCACATAGTATAATTTTATTTTGTACTCTGATTTGGGAACCCGGTCTATTAAACGGGGTATCTTAAATAAAGTTTATTCCCTTCCGCTGTCTTACTAGTGTTTTCTAAACCCCGGTAATGTTTTATGTGGATTCTTCCGCCACATCAAGATTATTTTCAAAATCCCGTTCACGTTATGGTACACTCTCTATGACAAATCTTATTTTCCGATTGTGGGTTAAATTTGAAGAATAGGGAAACGGTTCTATAATTTTAAAGTGGGTTTTCTCAAAGTTCAAATTGAATCCAAAAGTTTCTAATAAAGTCCGTGTTTCTTAAATTTCTATAAAATCATTGAGGGTGCTACAATTTACCCCAACTAAAGTCACGTGTCAGGCACGTGATTTGACTTCCGATCAATTTTGGCCAAAATTGGACATTTTGGACATCGGTGCTAAGAAAAGCGGAGTTCAGGCATGCCCGTGCAACTTTTTTCCGTTCAGGGGGTAAAGCGCAAAAACGTCCAAAGTTTAGGGGATTTTTTGCAGTTAACTCTATAAATTAATCCAAAAAAAAAATCCACATAAAGGTAAACATAGAGTGTTATTTCTACACTCCACTGTATCTGTTGCATCTAGAGATTTTGCTGTTGTTTGGTTATGCGTATTAAAGTCCTAGTGTTATAGTTCGTGTTTTTAAGAACGTTGTTGCGAATGCACTTTTGCGCATGTTTTTTTGCATGTACGTTTGTGCATGTCCATCTGAGCGAGTGTGTTTGTGCATGTTTGTTGATTTGTATTAATCTCCTAGGATTGTAGTTTATGTTTTCATGATCCTTTTTGCGAATGCACTTTTGCGTGAGTACTTTTGTGAATGCTTTTGTACTTTTACTTATGTGCGTATCTTTTCTAGCGAGTGTTTTTGTGCATGTTTCTTGATGCGCATTCATGTCCTCGAACTGTAGCACGTATTTTTGTGATCGCTTTTGGAATCCAATTTTGACCGTGTTCGAGTCCGAATTTGGAAATTTGATGTTAGATAGGAATTGTAGCCAGCTTAAACAGCTTTCTAATGCCGCCGGAACCAGTTGATTTGGAGTCCGGATGAGAAAGTTATGCTCGACTTCGTGGACACTACCAAAGATGTTGAGGGATCCTCTCTTCTAATTTGATTTTATTTTCCTCATTGCAACTCTTTTCTTACACTTTGATCATTTTTGCTTTATGGACACCTAATTTTCGATTTGTACCTATAAGATACTAAATCCATCAATTAAAACGGAAATATAAATTAATCCAAAAAAAAAATCCACGTAAACGTAAACATAGAGTGTTATTTCTACACTCCACTGTATCTTTTGTATCTAGAGATTTTGCTATTGTTTGGTTATGCGTATTAAAGTCCTAGTGTTATAGTTCGTGTTTTTAAGAACGTTGTTGCGAATGCACTTTTGCGCATGTTTTTTTACATGTACGTTTGTGCATGTCCATTTGAGCGAGTGTGTTTGTGCATATTTGTTGATTTGTATTAATCTCCCAGGATTGTAGTTTGTGTTTTCATGATACTTTTTGCGAATGCACTTTTGGGTGAGTACTTTTGTGCATGCTTTTGTACTTTTACTTATGTGCGTATCTTTTCTAGCGAGTGTTTTTGTGCATGTTTCTTGATGCTCATTCATGTCCTCGAACTGTAGTACGTACTTTCGTGATCGCTTTTGGAATCCAGTTTTGACCATGTTCGAGTCCGAATTTGGAAATTTGACGTTAGACATGAATCGTAGCCAGCTCAAATAGCTTTCCAATGCCGCCGGAACCAGTTGATTTGCACTACGGATGAGAAAGTTATGCTCGACTTCGTGGACACTACCAAAGATGTTAAGGGATCCTCTCTTCTAATTTGATTTTATTTTCCTAATTGCAACTCTTTTCTTACACTTTGATCATTATTGCTTTATGGACACCTAATTTTCGATTTGTACCTATAAGATACTAAATCCATCAATTAAAACGGAAATATAAATTAATCCAAAAAAAAAAATCCACGTAAATGTAAACATAGAGTGTTATTTCTACACTCCACTGTATCTTTTGTATCTAGAGATTTTGCTGTTGTTTGGTTATGGGTATTAAAGTCCTAGTGTTGTAGTTCGTGTTTTTAAGAACGTTGTTGCGAATGCACTTTTGCGCATGTTTTTTTACATGTACGTTTGTGCATGTCCATTTGAGCGAGATTGTTTGTGCATGTTTGTTGATTTGTATTAATGTCCTAGGATTGTAGTTTGTGTTTTCATGATCATTTTTGCAAATGCACTTTTGCGTGAGTACTTTTGTGCATGCGTTTGTACTTTTACTTATGTGCGTATCTTTTCTAGCGAGTGTTTTTGTGCATGTTTCTTGATGCGCATTCATGTCCTCGAACTGTAGAACATACTTTCGTGATTGCTTTTGGAATCCAATTTTGACCATGTTCGAGTCCGAATTTGGAAATTTGACGTTAGACATGGATTGTAGCCAGCTCAAATAGCTTTCCAATGCCGCCGGAACCAGTTGATTTGCAGTCCGGATGAGAAAGTTATGCTCGACTTCGTGGACACTACCGAAGATGTTGAGGGATCCTCTCTTCTAATTTGATTTTATTTTCCTAATTGCAACTCTTTTCTTAGTCTTTGAACATTTTTGCTTCATGGACACCTAATTTCTGATTTCTACCTATAAGATACTGAATCCACCAATTAAAACAGAAATATAAATTAATCCAAAAAAAAAATCCACGAAAACGTAAACGTAGAGTGTTATTTCTACACTCCACTGTGTCTTTTGTATCTAGTGTTTTTGCGGTTGTTTGGTTATGCGTATTAAAGTCCTAGTGTTGTAATGTTTTTAAGAACGTTGTTTCGAATGCACTTTTGCGCATGTTTTTCTACACCTACGTTTGTGCATGTCCAGTTTGTTAGAGTAGGTGACCAACAAGCCAACTTGTGGCTGTGGTCCTTCTCTTTTCCTTGTAATAAAACAATCGTTTTTCGTTCGTAAAAATAAAATATTTCATTTGGCATTCTATATCTGTTATCCCATGCAAGCAGCATAGATATAGTCCTAACGAGTTACTCTATTACTGTGAGTTGATCTAGTAGAATCGTGAGATAACTCAGCAATGTAATGTAACTGTTAAACCTTGTTCCTAGTCGATGGGTTACGCCAATAATGAGGATACCGTCCTTTCCCTTTTGAGACTAGTGTATGTGTACTGCGTCTCATCAGTCCTCGGTGTTGTGACATCGGCATACTTGAGTGCGTGCTCATATTAGATGAGTTCACTGAACTCCCTCGCCCTAGAAATCTGTAAGTGGTTCTCATTCATCGAGTAATAGGTTTCTAAGATATAGTTGTACACCATTAGTCCTTAAGACCCAGACATCACCGTGACTTCACTAGAGGACCGATTGTATCGTGACCTGTCCTTGAGTCCCACCGCGGACCACTCCAAGGGCCAACGTTCGTGCAATCCGAAATCTAGTGTTAAGTCTGTTTTATTGTAGTAGGGGATTCAAGCGCTTGAGTAGTCATGGATGTCCTGTGTGTTCTGACGGTTTATAATCCATGGAATCTCTGGCCAGA